AGATTTTTATATGGTGTTACAAAGTCAGCAAACTCTAAATAAATTTATATGGACCAAGTGAAACAGCTCTGTAGTTCAGATTTGGACTAATCACTGCCAATTTATAACTTCTAGTCATATATTGTCTTCTTGCAACACAGCAATAGAAGTAAATCAAACTAAATGGTTCATACTAAGTTTTTGTCATTTGTAATTCTTATTTTTCTATATGTATAATCTGTACTGATAAAGTACCAAGGGGAAAACTAGGCCATCTTTTTCTGTATCAAGTATTTTTCAGGCTCAGTGGCACAGCACCTGCTTGGCAAGTGCAAGGTTGTGAGTTCGATTCCTGGTACCGGAAAACAAACAAACAAACAAAACAAAGTATTTTTCAGAAGACTGTGGTTATGAAATGTTTCTTACTAGGATGGGAGCAGGTGCTTGACATTAACTTTTTAGTATAACTTTAAAGCTAGTGCACCTTGAAAAAAATTGTTACAAACATCTTCAATGGACCTTTTGTTTAATTGTAAGAGAAGTAAATAATTAAAAGGTAGTAAATCATAAATGCATCATTACTGGCACAAGCAGAACAGCATCATATGTCTTCAGATGGTGGGAAGCATCATATATATTTTGGAGAAAGAGAAGAACTTGCAGCATGGGTATTGAAAACAGTGGATTCTACAGGATGAGAGTGTTATCCATACTGAGTTGGAATAAAACACATGAGGAAGGAGTTTTCTGGAATTAGCCGAACAGCCACCCTACTTCATCACCTGTTGATGTTGGAAAGTTCCAAGAAGTCATCTTAGAAAGAAGCACAGGAGCTTTGCCTTTGGAGCACCCTGAATGCAGAGGCTTTGAAATTTCCTACTCAGGGAACAGGGAACTGCAACAGGTTTCACTGAGGACATGGAGGGCGTAACATAGTCAGACTTGTACTTTCGTTAAATTGATGTAGCATTTCTGTGTTTGTCTGAAGGGGGATATTACAGTGGAAGAAAAAAACAGAATTAATCATATCTTTCACTAAATCAGCCACGAGCAAATAAAGGCCTCATCTAGTCCTACCAAAGTGATTGTATTGATAAAAACTAGAGCCAGAGTTCTGAGAATACTGATAGCAGAGAGACAGATGACACACATTTACTTATTTTTAAGTATATTAAAGTTGCAAAACAAAAATAAAGTTGCCGCATGTTAGATATGTACTGATCTGTAAATGAAGCTCAGAAAATATATATCTATGTGAAATAGATATATATTCCCCACATACATTCAGAAATATACTTAAAAGATGTGCTTACTGGTGTGTACTTATAAAGTATGTATGTTTAAAAGACAAGACATGAGGGACAATGTACCTACAGAATCTGTCTTGAAGTTTATAAAGGAGACTCTAGGATGAACACAAGAGAAAAATGAGTAAGGATTTCCAGAGTTGGCGGGAAGCAGAGACGGAATGATGTTGAGGAAAGAAATCCCTACAGTTAGAAATATTTTTTCAAACACTGTAAGAAAGTTCATGAAGGGTGAATGCTGAGAAGTTACCAGGTTTGGTGGTTACTTTGTGATTGGGTGCACAGGGAAAAATGAAAGAATGTAAAAGAATTATAATTAAGAGCATAGGGGATCAAAACCACTAATTTGTGCCAATAAAATTCTCAGTTCTTTCACCTCCTACACTGCTCTGTTAAATGCAGTAATGTTATTATCTCATTCCATATGGTATTGGATGGACACAGAATAGAGGAAACAAAATTACTGCCAGAAACAAGTCTCTTCTTCTGAGAAGGCATATGTTCAGGACAGCAAACATAACAGAAAGATAGGTAAGAACAAGTGCATCAAAGTGCCTGGAATCTTTACATAATGAATTAAATACTTCAATTTTTTAGGTATTTTAGATAGACAATTGTAAAGAAAACAGAAATCACTAATGAAACCTCAATTGAACACAGGATGATATTAGGGAGGAAATATATTTTTATAAAGAGATGATTATTTTTGCATTAGAAGCAAAAATAGAAATATCTAATTTATATGGGAACCACAGCAATCCAAAGAAATACTAAAGAAAAGAAACTGTGTAACAGGAATATTAGCATTCTTCATAGCTCTAAACCTCCACTGAATAAAGTGAGACAGATGAAATACTGGATGAGTCTCAGTGTCTTTATTTCTTGCCTCTCAATTATGAATTTTAAAAATTTTAAACTATTCAATAAATTAATTTGTACAAAAAGATTTCACTGAACATCTGTGTATCAGGCACTGTATTTGGTGCTGCTGTAAGAGAAAGCAAAGCATAGTCTCACCTGAAATAATTTGTCGTCTAGCTGAATAATACAAAAAGTTTTTAAATGAATAAGAAACTATACATTTTAAAAGCACAAATACAGTAATAAGAGTTTATTTTCAGGGATATTTGGGGAAGCCCTCCTTCAAGGTGATAAAGAAAGGCCTCCTTGGGAAGGTAATGAGTTATGATGAACATCAGGGTAGTCCCATAAAAGCTTGGAGGTACTACAGGATGACGAAAAGCAACATAAATCCTTAAAATGATTCAGGAATTAAGGGTGATAAAAATAGTTATTTATTAAGTACTTGCTATATATAATACTTTTTGATATTTTAACTTATTTATTGCAGTCACATGAGGAAGTAGATGACAATAGGATTACATTTTACAGTTGGAAACACTAAAAGACAGGGCATTTAAGTAGCTCATTTAATGTCATACAACCAGTAAGAATCAACACTTGAGTCAGACCTGTGTATGAGTTTCCAGAACCCAATCTCCAAACTGTTGTATGTTGAATTCACAGTTTTAACAGGTGGACATTTCCAGACATTGAAGCTCAAATCCAAAACTTAACTTTCTTTGGAAGAGTAGATGTGCTATATAATCTCTTACTGAAGTAGCTTGTGAAAGTAAGTAGCTAATAAAAATCGTTTTAGGTATTGAGTTTTTTAAAATTAAAGTTACAGTTCAAATCACTGAATTTAGGAAATGTATCTCGGTAAAAAATGGTCAGGAGGGATAACCTGAGGTTAAAAAAATCACTATGGACCCAAGACTATACACTGTGACTACTGAGTTTGTCCTATGTAGTTTCAAGCTTATTTGCTAGGACATTCATAATAGAAGATATTTCATGAAGAAATGTTGCTTTTTCACAGAAGCCATGCTCTTGTATTCTTCTAGCATGTCCAGAAAAGGCTGACTGTAGGGTAGACCAAGCTGAGTTTAGGTTTCGGGAACAAAAAAATATCATCAAGGTGGTAGCAAGATTAATTGAGAGCGTAAAATTGGATGCTTTAGAGTGATGAAGACTTCATATTGGAAAATTAATAGTAGATTTAAGACTGAAAAAATACTGAAGCAGTAGCATGGAGCTGAGAGAAAAAGAGAACTGTATAGATTAGTGATGGAATTTGGAAATTTGATGGGTGGATTGGAGAGGGAGTCACAGATGCTTTGATTGAGTAGTCACTCACTTTTCACCTGATTTACTACTTAGGAGATAATTCAGTTTAATGGAAAATTTACTCCAGTAAAACTTAAGTTTGGAGATTGATATTCAGGTTGATACTCACAATTAGGGTTTGAAAAAAGCGTGAAGGCTATCATATGGATTTAGAAGTCTTAGCTGAAATATTTAAAGCAAAAAGAAGTAACTAGATGTTCACAGAGTGAAACAACAGAAAGAAAGTCTCTGTGGTAATCACATTCTAATTACTAAACTGTAGCTTTTCTTACTGTTTATCTTACTTCAGTTTTGAATCTGTTCTCTGATGTTAACTGAAATGCACTCTGTTCTCAGATCCTCTGGGTCCGGGTCTGTGCCGGCCTTTGCATACCTCCCATCTGAACTTCTCGCGCACATGTAGTCACCATTGGCATTGTCTCCTGTTACTACAAATCATTGCTACTCTCTGGGTCCAAATATGAACAAATACATGACCTATTTAGTTTTAGTGCAACTAAATTTGACATTAAGGAAAAGAAGAAAATTGATAAAAATAAAGAGTGACGCAAAAATTCAAACATATAAAGAGATAATTTTCCATAATCCTAGCTAGCTAGAAGATAAAAATAATGAAGAGGGAACACGATTCTTGGCCCAGAAGATTTCAGTACAGTTAACAGAGGTCACTCACCAAACTCGCTGGAGGGAAAAAAGAAAAAGACTTATGAGCCTTATACAGTGCCCCAGCAGTTTTGCTGCTTTTTTCCTTATATAAAAATCTGTGTGGCTTAAGAAATGGAGGATTAAATCTAAGATGATGAAAAAACAGAGACAACTGGGTATTGACAAGCCTGGACTGGTCTTTTGGAACTGCCATGACAAATTACCAGAGGCTGGTTGCCTTATAATGTGTGTTTATTTCTCACAGTTCTGAAGGCTGAGAAGCCCAAGATCAAGGTTTGGCTCATTGCATGTATGGTGAGGATTCACTCCGGTTCAGAGCAACACCTGATGGAAGGGTCAGGTGTCCATGGGCTCTGCTTTCATGGCCTCACTGACTCTGCTTCCCAGATAGCCCACTTTCTAGACTCACCACCCTGACAGTCAGGATGCAAGCATAGGGATTTTGGAGTAACACAAATGTACAAGACCATGTCAGCCTCCTACTGCCTGTTTTCTTGTCCTCACATGTGAGAATGTTTAAAGCAGATCTCCCATGTGTTATAAAACATTATCTGACTTTAGTTGTTGTTTATATTTCATTAAATTACTTTTAGTGTGTGTTTCTTTCACTATATCATCTCTTTTATGAAGAATAAAAGCTGTTTAATGTACAAAACTACTCGGTGTTTCAGTTAAGAAAAGTTATTTGTGGAAGTCAGAAGGATATTTAAAAATACAATTTTAAGTGAAGAAATGACATACGTATACCTCATGATATAATGAAAATATCTTTTTCGTATATGTTAAGCAAATTTGTTTAGGTAAAAATGCATAAAATAGAGACTGCTCACAAGTCTTTCTACCTCAAATTTCTAACAGAAAGAGCGAGAGAGAGGTTCCAATTTAGCCTTCATGTTTCGACTGCCTTTTGCTGCTGGGAGAGTGTTTAGCATCAGCATGCTGGACACGCTTCTGTACCAGGTAGGCAGCACTTGTTTTCTCTTCAAAGTGGTTATTCTGTACTTCATTTATATGTATTTACTAAGTAAGAAATAGTAACATTTGAGCTGTTGAATTGATGCTGGAAGTAGTTCAATATGTCATGTTTTTAATAACAAAAACGTTCCTATGAAGTAGTCTGAAAACATGTTATTTAAAAATGACTTATAGATATTATTTTAGGCTTCTGTGGTCTCAGCACCCTATGATGGTTATTATGACATTGTAGTACATTTTTCATGTTATTCTAACAATTTCCTGTTTTTTTAAAACATATAAGAAAAAATAACTAGGTTAAAAACAACAAAAAATTTCCTCCTAGTATATAATTTGTTTAGATTTGAAATAAGTTACCAAATTGATGTGAATAAACTAATAAAATTGGGTATTTTGACATCCTATAATTATGCTTAATTTAGTAAAATACATAAAAAAATTTACAATAACATTGAACTATTAAGTTTTTTCCTAAGTGCCAAGTTAACGTTACCCTTTTATCATAACTAAAAGATGCTCTTTCACACAAACATAATCTTTTATTTATTTCTGCCCAAAACTGAAGTAGTAATATTTCATACTCTGATTAAAGTAATCAATCTCTAAATATTTCCATTAAATAAAAGGTATTCAGATAGATTTAAATACTTTTATAGCAGTGATCTCAAATTAAGCACGTAAACATTTTTATGGCTTCTACTCTTTTTCATTATATATTTATACTCTTCTACAATTGCTTGACTGAATAAACTAATCCAAAGATAGTTCAAGCTTTTCTGTGGGCTTCTGGGCTAATTTGCCAATGAGTGAACCTCTAGCAATGTCAGGAACCATCTGCTTATGCCAGATGAGCACCAGAGAAAACACAACAAAGGAGAATAAATACTCCCATTTTCCCTAAAGTTTGCAGGCACTTTAGGAGTACTCCAGGAGGCAAAACTCCCACTCCACACATCATTACCACACATGCGTGCTTCAAGTATTTTAAAGTCAGAGTAATGTTTTGTAGAATTGGAAAGCTTTATATCCTCATCATTTTCCTCATAGATCATGTAATAAATAGAGATATAGGAATTTAGTTACTTTGTAAGCTTCTACATATACAGTAAATTAGAATTATGGCTTTTAAAGCTTTTGAATAATAAGAGTAAACATTGCTTTATTCCAATGTAATACATACCTGCATGTTTGTATGTGCAAATATATAACTGAACTGCTGATAATTTTCCATATGAACTGCTGATAATTTTCCATAGTATTTTAAATTTTTGAAGTGTATTCAGTTTCATTTAAATATTTGCTGGCTATAACCTATAACTTCATTGTGTGACTTGTTTAAGACATTTAAATAGAGAATTAAACAGTAAAATCTAAAAAATAATTTCTGTTCAGGTGTTATTTGAGATATTATTAATGATTCTTGTATGCTTGTGATTGTAAGTCACACTTTCAGTAATTTCATACTGTTGAAATTGCCTGTGTCTATTATAAAGACTGCTACAGTTTTTGACTTTTCCAGTAGGCAAGATAGTCTTCCATACCAGGGTAACATGATGATTTAAAATTAAAAGACTCCATGGGGCTGGGGATGTGGCTCAGTGGAAGAACTCTTGCCTTGCATGCACAAGGTCCTGGGTTCGATCCCCAGCACCACATACATTAAAAAAAGCCAATAATAGTAATAAATAAATTAAAAAAAATAAAATTAAATTAAAAGACTCCATTTTAGTATACAGTGGTTTGGAGAAAGTGTATGGAATGATTAATGATACAAATAGTTTAGATGTTTACTAGCATAGAATTTATGTATGCATATTTGTATGTATGCATATATGCATGTATGTATATATTTTGGTATCAGAAATTGAACTCAGCACCTTGTGCTTTCCAGGCAGGCACTGTGCTGCTGAGCCATATCCTTGACCCTACTAGCATAGCATTTAATTGTAAGAAAAAATTTCTTTAAACTTTAATTATTTTCTGATTCTCATTTCAATTTGTAGTTTTTTGTTATTAAAACATCTGAAGTATTTTATCATGATTAAAGTACATATAAAATTTAAGCATACTGAGATATTTCTAAGTAACCATTATTTCCTAGATTTTCTTAAAAACTGCTTCACTACACATGTTTGATAGTTGACAAGACAGATTTTTTATTGCCCTTCTTATAGCAGCTTAATCATGTGTTTTTAGCAGTAATCTTTGAAAGTACTTACATGTTCACATTCATAACTATTCTGTATGTTTCATACATATGACATATCCATATTTTGCTTATACTGCAGTCATTTGTGAAGGATTATATGATTTCTATCACCAGACTTCTGTTGGGACTGGATACAATACCAGGATCGGGGTTTCTCTGTTCTGTAAGTTAATAATCTCTGAGTAGAAGATTGGTCTTATATAAAGTTCTGAAAATTTATCTACCGTGTGCTTTGGCTGATAATTCTATAATCGCATACTACTTTTTCCAGTATTTGTCTAAGTAATTACATCTGAAGTTTTGCAATTGATTAACATTTTATCAAGAGAAATATACTATTTTATTCACTAATCATAGCAAATAACTATTTTGTACAAAATTCAGAACAAGTGTTCTTTTATCTAGCTAGCAATTTGAGACTGATAGGTTTAGACTTAGGGTGACATACTGTCCAGGTAAACATTGCTTGTAGAGTTTAACCCATTTGACTTTTGTTTGTTGGTGTGTCCCTTTAACTCCGGGGCTCAATATCCTTGCTGACTCAGCTTCCCAAGTTACTGGCACTACAGGCATGTGCCATCACACCCAGTTTAACCCCTTTCCTTTATATGAGTGTAAACTATGTCCAGGTGCATTGAATGATTTGCTAACAGTTATACAAATAACAATGAACTCAAGTTGCCTGTGTTCATTTTACTATACATCTCCTCCAATATGAGTGTTATTAGAAAATTAGGTGGGACACTATTTTTGTATTGGAGTGTCTTTTGTGGCCTTTATTGCTTAGCAAACTGTCTGCCCACTAAATTCCAGTAGCAGCCTCCAGGTATTACATTTATAAATCTCACCATATGCTTTACAATACCTTCCAGTTAATTACTATTACCCCATTGCCTACTGATTTGGACTAATATACTTTCATATTACCCAAAATTGAATATTTAAATGTCTTAAGTTTTGGTGAGCTCCCAGTATAATTTGAGGCAAAATATAATAATATATGGATAAGTACTTAGTCTTGAAATTTCAAAATATTAATAAATTCTGCCTTTGACAAGTAAAAAATAACCATTGCTTTTATTTCTTAAATGTTTACAATGCAAATAATCCTTATGTATTACAGATGAAAATCACTGAGGATGACTTGTGGATCAGAACTTATGCCAGACTTTATCAGAAATTGTGTTCTTCCACAGGAGATGTTCCCATTGGAATCTACAGGACTGAATCTCAGAAACTTACTACATCTGAGGTGTGGAAATATTGAAGTATTCATGTTTTGGGATTTACTCTGCTAAACTTGGAAACTGATTTTTGCAAAATGCCATAGAAAGTGAAAATAGTGCTATCCAAATACACAGTGTTAATTTTCAAAACCTGAAAGCCTCTCAACTGTCAGTTAAACTATATCAGAATTTCACAAATTATTATTGATTCAGGGGCCACAACAGAGTCAGTGGACACTGGTCTCTGGAAGCTTTTTATAGATTAAGTCTTAGCCACTTTTGGAATATTGCCAACCATCAAATGAATTCTAAATAATCTTGAGGTTCAGCTATATAAGAATAGTTCTCCAAGCAACCTAGACTTCTACATATATATGGGTGGAAGCAAAACAAAGAGGAGTTACTAATAATTAAATTCCTAATTCTCAACCTCTGTATTGACAACAACTCTAAACTGAAAAGAAGACAACAGAGTAGTGCCCAGTCTTCCAGACGAGCTCTTAATAATTTTAATGGCACATTAGAGCCTATGAATACGGAAGAAGAAGTTTTGATAACTGCTCACATCCATGTTTTGATTTGGTCATGCCATGTATTCAGTATAGCTTTTATACCCTTATTATAACATCACCTATGATATTAGGTTCTTTATAAAATAAAAAAAATTTAGATAAACTACCATGTTAACATTTATATTATTTGATATAAATGATGATTTATATTTTTGAGAATTTTTTTCTTAAAATATCACATTTATTATGAATCACAAAGAAATTTTGGTTAATCATTATATTAGTATGGCAAAATCACCTGGACCATGAAGCTCAAGTTAATCGTTCATTTCAGGAATCCGTATAATTATTTCGCCTTCTCATGGTAAAAGTCAACAAATGTATGTATAAAAAAGAGAAGAACTTTATGGGAAGTATAAAGTTAATAGGGTAGATTTTGATTTCCTTGTGAAAGGGTATAGTTTGGCATTTATACAAGAGGGTATCATGGCCAGCGGGGAATAATTTAATTTTCTAAGGAATGTTTTGGCAGTTTCATTGCAGCTTCTGGGATGGTAAGCAGAGCTCTGATGTCATCTCTCTTGCTGAGTTCAAGTTTTGCTTTGTATACGCTCCCTGTGGTTGACACTAAAAGAGCCATCCCATCCGAGAGAGTCAGAAGTGACTCACTACAGAGCCATACCCGATAATTAAATATGTAAGATGGTTTGACAGATATGCCTAAATTTTCAAGAATGTTGGATTCTGACATTATTTGCTTATAGGTTAAGAGAAGACAAGAGCTTTTATAACTAAGCAATTAAACATTATCTTGATCTATTAGGGCTTCTATAATAAAACTATATATACTTAGTGACTTATGAAGAACAGAAATTTAATTCTTATAGTTCTAGGGCCTGGGAAGTATAGGATAAAGGACCCAGGTGATCAAGTGGCTGGTGAGGTCTGCTGATTCTTAAAATGTCATCCTATCACTGACTTGTCACATGACAGAAGAAGCCAGGCAGGGGTCTTTTTATAAAGTGACCTCTTGGCCTAATGGCCCTCCAAAAACCTCATCTGCAGATACCAGTACATTGTGGATTGCACGTATGATATTCTGGGGGGCTGGGGACACAAACTTTCATTTATATTAACTATTTTTTATTTCTTGATGGTGAGCACAAATATTTCCATACAGAATTTTCTTGTATTTTTATGTTTAGTTTTAGTGAATTTGCATATAGTAGATCCTCCCCATGTTCAACTCAATATTCATGTCGGTCATTTAATATTACTAAAAGACCGTGCTGTATCTATAGAAACTATAGACATCAGTAGAAAGATAATTGAATATCTACTTTGTAATCAAATGTATTTAAATTAACATTTTGGTTGCTTGGCCTGTCACTATGAAGATCTCCCAAGTAAAATGTTCATAAATCCCCAAACCTCAAGCTTATTAAAAAAACGCATATGACTGGGAAATTAAAAGGGAACTAAGGCTGGGGATATAGCTCAGCGGCATGAGTGTCTGCCTGGCAAGCACAAGGTCCTAAGTTTGATTCCCAGTACCCAAAATCAATCAGTTAATGAATGAATCAACCAATAAATAAAAGGCAACTAAATTAAATGTAATACTATTTTTCTTGTATTTGATTTAATTTAACAAGCATTATTTAACAGGCATATTCTTAAAATTTTATACCTTAGCTCTTTAAAAAAAATAAGCAACAAATAAAGATGAAAATGTAGGACTAGCAAACATTTTCCAGCAAAATATAAAGATAGGGAAATTAATGCAACTCTATGTTCAGCAGCAACTGACTTCTACTGTTTGGCCTGAATTCTAATTTTGTGTTCCTGGTGAATAAAACAAAAATAACAGTATGTTGATTTATATAGTAACTATATTCTAATATATAAAAGAATATGTGTGTCCTTTAAAATGTATGTCCTTTTTGGTCTCTTATTAAATGATAATTATAAGAGATTTTAGGTATGATGCACAGTATCTACCATCAATTCTAGATCCACAAGATGCAAAAGCAATATTAAAAATTCCTAGGTAGGGCTGGGGATTTAGCTCAGCGGCACAGTGCCTGCCTGGCAAGCGCAATGTCGTGAGTTTGATTCCCGGTACCGGGAAAGAAAAACAAAAACAAAAAATTCCTGGGTAAATACTCTACTTCATACACAAAAGAAAAAGGGAACATCAATTAAATCTTAACCCAGCCATGACACTGAGTTTTGTGTGAAGATAGAAACATTTTATTCTTTCTGATTGTTTAAAAATAAGGTGAGAACTAAATGGAGCCAGTGAAATGATAGATCAGCTCATATATCCTACCATCTTTATTAGATATCACGTGGTTCCAAAACAAGCAAGTTTTGAAATTCAAGTAATGTACCACTACCCCAATGCCAATTTTATCTTATTTGAATTAAAAACAGACACCAGAATTTAGGAGATGGAAACTTCATTCCATAATTAGAATTGGGTTGTCAGACATATTTTTGCTTAGGTATCTATCAGCTCCTCTTCATCCTGCATAGTTCAAAAGCAGTCTATTGTTTTTTTCTTTTTTTAAATATTGAGAGTTTATTCCAACAAGGTAGTGTACAGACTGGGAGACACTGGACACAGTTGACAACTATGGCTACATTACTGAATTCTGGGAGCTAAATGAAAAGATATATTCTGTACATTTTACCCTCTGCAGCAAATTGGCAGAGTCTTCCCTAGAAAATCTGCCAAAGCAAAATAGCAAGGACCTAAAACTAGATGTGGGAGACTATTAAAACCCTCAAACCTCTAATTTTCTAATCCAGTCAGCTTAATATTTAGCCTAATGCATAAAAGCATGTAAGTTCATCGTGTAAAATATTTGGTTTTTGTAATCATTTATTAAAAGATGAGTATAAGAGTTTTTAGAATCTCTCAACCTCTAATTTTCTAATCCCCATGTATCTACAATAAAGTTCTCTCTCACAGTTCCTGATTTATTAGTCCCTTTTCTTAAATATGAAGACAACTGAAACTTTCCTGCTATCTTAGGAAAGCTTCTAATATGAAATACAGACACCAATATAAAGACTCCGGAAGAAAGAAATACTTATAAGAAAGATAACTGCTGGGGAGAAGAAAATCTTAAAATATCCACATCCACATCCACTCCCAGGTATTTTCCCCAAAGAAATTTAACTTTACATTTCAATTAACCAGTATCATTGCTAGTAATAGCTTGAAATTGGAAACAGCCTAATATCCTTCAATTTGTGAGCAGATAGACAAAATGTGATCACACTTATAAAGGAATGCTATTTAGCAACAAAAATAAACTGCTTATATGTGCTGTAACTTGGATGAACCTCAAAAACATTATACCAAAGGAAGGACTCAGGAGAGCACATATTATATGATTTCATTCATAAAAGCAACTATGTAGAGATCAACAGTAAATTGCTGATTGTGTAAAGCAGAGGGCAGGTGGGGAAATGAATATTAAAAGTGAATGGCTACATGGAAATTATCTAGATGAACAGAGTAATCTCACATTGATTTACAGTAATGATTTGTATAATTTGTGAGGTTGACTAAAATAACCTCAATTTAACACTTGGAATAGGTGAATTATCTAATATTTCAAATATATTTTAGTTGTTATATAATAAGCTATAGTTAATATTATTGGATGTCTTAGAAAGTATAAGGATGAAAAAATAACAGAAAAATGTACTTTAGCAAAACATTAAGAGAAAGAACCTTATATGAAAAAGGTAATAGCAGAAGTGAAATAACCTGTTACATAAAACAGAGAAATTGCAGATTCAGTAGACCAAGAACTCAAAACACAGAAAATAGTAAAAATATTTAACATACTTGGAGGGTCTAAAATCTCATTCATAGCCTTTCCACAAAAAGTCAATGAAACAAAACTGAAGAAACATCACTGTAATAATTCCAGAATACCTTCAGAGTAGTTTCTGTCTTTGATATGCTCTTGTCAATGGGACAGGGTAACTGATGGATTCCACACCCATAAGTTCAAGGAGAAGAGATTTATTTTGGTTCAGAGTTACTGGAGATTTCAGTCCATGGTCAGCTGGCTCCAAGGGAAGACAGCACAGCAGAGGGAAAGCTGCTCAGGTTCTGGTGGAAGAGAAGAAGAAAAAGTGAAGGGAAGAGCTGGGAAGGGGGATTAAACCCCCCTCCTTGCTCTGCTCCCAAAGATTATAAACTCTATAATCCAGTCACTTCCCACAGCTATCTCTCTCATCTAATGAGGCTGTGGGAAGGACATGTCGATATCAGCCATAACTGCTTACAAATGGGAGCACTACCAACCTGTAACAGTGTCTATAACAGTGAAGTAAAATAGACTCAAATAGAGGCATAGCGCCATTAAATTTCAGAACAGTGAAGGAATGGAGAAGATCCTTAACGCTTCCAGAAAAATGAGGTTAGAGACTGTGGAGACAGGTCATATTCAAGGTTAGCCTCTGGGCTTTTCAACAGCAATATTACTATAAGA